TTCTTGCCCTATTTAACATCCCTGAAATGTCCATTGCCTGCATTTTTATTCTCTCTATTATCCAAGAGAACTTCAAAAAGCTTGTGGAAAAATGGAAATGAAGTGCAAGTTTCTTCTTCTGTTTGTTTTTTAGTTTTGCTATGGGGCACATGAATGTCCCAAACAGATGGAAAGTGAGAAAGCTGTCCTTGGTGGGGATGGCCATGCCACAGTCCCTCCTCCACCGTTTTCCTCTGTGATTTTGCACACACATGCATGTGCACCTGCCATGATTTTCAAGCAACAGGTCTGGGACTTCGCGTCCATACCTTAACCTCTATGCCACCAGCTTGCCCCCAAGATTATTCTGTTACAAAAAAATTTGAAATACATGTATAATTTTTTCATAAAATGCATTTTCCATGAACTCTTTGAAGACGCCCCTGCACATTAATACAAATAATTCAAATTAATATCCAAATTATCTTAATAACTAGATTTATAGTCTTTTTCTCTTCTCAAATTTTTTAAAATTTAGAACTATACTACTTATAAAAGATTTTTTAAAAGTCAAGAATAAAAAATAAAAAGGCAGCAAGGATTGAAAGTTGACTCTGTGTAATACTAAGAAAGTGTTTCGGGGCTTGCCCGCAGACCAGTGGTTAAGGAAACCAGATTCCACACGGTTGACCACAGCTCAAATCCCAGCCCCAGTGGCTTGAAAAACAGGCTAGACACATGTGTGCACACCCACAATCCTGACGGGGTGGGCAAGTGGGGAAGGGATTGTGTGACCACACCCCACTGGGGGTGCTTTCTCCGCTCCTCCTCTCTCTGTGTTGAGCACGCACACTCTAATATAGAGAGAAAGAAAGCACTTCAGGGCCAGCTGGATCTATATGACCAAATGTGCAGTTTGAGTCCTGGACATGATGGACTGAGAAACATGAAAGGCATGGGTGTATTCCTGCCCAAAATTTGGAGAGAAGAATGGAAGAAAAGGGATCGTGGCATGGCTTCCCCCCCGGCAGTGCTTTCTCCCTTTCTCCTCTCTGTCTCCCTCCCGGCAAGCACACAAGCCCTATGACAAAAATAACTAAAGAAACAAGCCAAAAAAACCCCCCAAAGTTTCAAATTATAACACTGTATTGGACATCTATGTCTACATATTTATTCGTGATACTCATTACACTTAAAGGTTCATCTTTATTCATTATTGGAATGATCAGACTTCTACAGAGAGAGAAATTTACTAAACTCTCCTTCCTAAAACACAAACTATGCTTTCTAGAAAGCACATCTTCACCATTATGATCTTCTCAAAAAGTTTGCACTACTTTTTTTTAAAGAATTAAATTTTTTCATTTATCATAATTATTTTTGCCATAAGGCATGTATGTTCACCATACATGCTAAAAGCAAGATAACAGATCCCCTATTTGAACTGCGGTTGCCCATGTGGGAGTCCAGAGCCTCATCCACCACGCCACCTGCTGGGCCCCCAAGTTCTCATTACTTAAGAGCTTCAGTTTCAAGATTTTATCCATTTAGGTTGAAAGGGCAGTATAATACTGTTAAATTGCTAAGTATCTTTTAAGTATCACCAATTGGGACCAGCAGATGGCATAAGGGTGAGGTCTCTGGACTCCCACATAGTTGACCCTGGTTTACGTCCTAGACCTGGTAGCTTAAAATTCACACTGGATCCATATGCGTGTGTACCCTGAGAGGAGAATGGAGGAAAAGGGATTGTAGCGTGGCCAATCCCCTTGGAGGGTGATTTCTTGCTTTCAAAATAAATAAATAAATAAATAACATATATTTTTTTTGAATCATCAATTTTTCCTAGAAATAAAAATAGCCGGAGCTGGCAGGTAGTGTGGTGGTTGAGGTGCTAAAGACTCTCACATGGTCAACCACCCAGTTCAAGTCCTGGACCTGGTGGCTTGGTTTCTCAATCTCCCTTTCTGTCTGTCTGTCTCTCTCTGGTCAAAATGAATAATAATAATAAATAATATTAAAAATAAGTAAATCTTAAAAAAAAAAAAGAAAGAAAAGTAGCCAACTTGCTCCTACCTGATCTAAGTGACAAAAAGTTTCTTTAAGGTGCTGCAGAAGAAGGCAATCCATTTTGTTTGTGAGTTGGCATTCTCTGTACGGGAACCCAGCCCGCTGCATTAGCCAGTAAAAACATCTGGACACGTCAGATCCTCCATATGCCAGACAGAGCCTAAAGTTAAAAAAAAATTGCTGGTTAAGAAAGTACGGGGGGCGGGGGAAGCAGTTAGCGTAATGGCTATGTCGCTAGACTCCCACGTAGTCAACTGCAGTTCGCGTCCCGGACCCGGTGGCTTAAAACTCACGCCAGGCACGTGTGTGTGCGTGCCCAAGATCCCGAGAGGAGAATGGAGAAGGGATTGTGGCGTGGTCATCCCCCCGGGGGGTGATTTCTCGCTTTCTGTCTCTCTGTCTGTCTGGCGAGCGCATGTGCTCTATAGCAAAAACCTCTCAAAAAAAAGAAAAAAAAAAAAGTAAGTACGGGGGAATGGGGCTGGCAGGTGGTTAAAGGTGCTGGATTCCCACATGCCTGACCGTGGTTCAAGTCCTGGACCTGGTGACTTCCTTTCTCACTTTCCCTCTCTGTTTCTCTCTGGTCGAATTAGAAAATAATAATAGTAGATAAAAAGTTAAAATAGAATAGTAATAATAACAATAGAAAGAAGGTACGGGGGTGCTTTAAGAATTCCATTGGGCACACTGAAACATATCAAGTTTCAAGAAATGTTTGTCGTAACAACTGAATGATAGGACATAGTGGATGGATGGGAGGAAAACAGGGAACGCTAACAAAAGTCAGTGATGGGGCACTGAGTGGCAGTAAAATAGTTTGCAAAAGGTATCTGAAACAGGACACACGCTGTCACATCCAGCTTCCTTCCCATCAGGAGTTCACCACAGGACGGCTGTGTGGCCACCTACACTCGCTAGCGTACAAGGGGCAGGCTCTGCTTCCACAGGACACGCTCCCAGGAGAAAGGTGCAGAGAGGACTACGCACTAGAAGGAAGATGGCTATGTTCTTCCTGTGGTGGGAGACCTGGGTCCAGCATCTTCTCCACATTTGGGGGAGCACTGGCTTTATATGAGCCAAACAATGAATGAGCTAAAATAACTCACACTGGGTTTGAGGATGCACTGGGGTAGGAGGCAGCACGTCAACCTTTCTTCTGGACTACGCAGACCCTCCTTTTAGTTTCCTTTTAAAACTTGAGACTCGAACTACCCTCATGTGGGGGGCAGGAAGGATTAAAGCATCCTTAAATGCAGGGAGAAGCCACCTCAGGAGCGTGAAGGCTACAGACAACGCAGACACCTCCTGCACTGCCTGCAGGTGATACCTGAAGCAGGCTTGCCTCGGAAAGCACTAGCAGCAAACCTGCTCCGGACGGTCATTTTGCTAACTCATGTTATCAGTGATGAGGTGGCCCCCAGATGTCACTGCCACTCAGCAAACACGAGTGTGGCAAGAATGGCACTAGAAACACTAGCCGGTCAGAGAACTCAGACCTGAAAAATCTCTTTCCTTCTTTGTGACCTGCCTAAATAATGCTTTCCTGTGAAGGTGTGATTGGTATCTCCATGCCAGACCACAGCGAAACATACAAGCGAGTGCCTACACTTCTCTGTGGGAAAGCACATAACATATCCTAGGACATTCGGGAGCTGCTGATGTGAATTCATACTAGAAAGTTCCAAAGGAAAGAGTAAAATCATTTGTTTTCAGCCTTGCTAAAGCGCGTACTTCATAAGTTTGCTGGACTCCTAGTTAGGCTTTTGAATATATCATTCCTCAAATATTTTTTATTTCTGTATTATTTTTAATTTATTTTATTTTTCTTTTGAGAGATTTTTGCTATAGTGCATGTGCACTCACTGGAGAGAGAGAGAGAGAGGCAGAAAGTGAGAAAACATCCCCCAGGGGGATGGACATGCCATAATTTCTTCATTCTCCTCTCAGGATTTTGGGTGCACATGTACATGCGCTATGCGTGAGTTTTAAGCCACTGGGTCTGGGACTCAAACCACAGTAGGCAATGATGTGGAAGTCCGTGACATAACCATTAGGCCATATGCTGGTCCCCTATTATTATTTTTTAATTTGCTATAGGGCTTGTGCACTCATCAGAGAGAGGGGGGGGGAGTGAAAAAGCAAGCCGCCAGGTCCAAGACTTGAACCATGTTCAGCCATGTGGGAGTCTGACGCCTCAACCACAACGGCACCTGCTGGCCCCATAGTAAGTATTTTTTAAGTTGTAGTATTCTATAGTTGAACAGACTCTGAGGGGAGTGAGGCACCCCCAAGTTCCTTACCGAGTGTTCCTATGAGACACCCCATCCTCCACACAGCATACGCTTGTCTTCTGGTCCCCAACGTCTACAATGCATGTACTGCTTAAGCCACTCCCAAAGGTGGCACACACGGACTCCTGATGGACCACAATCCCTGAAAAACACAGCCAGGTGGGGCAGTCAGCTGCAGAGCAGTGGAGAGCCTAAAACGAATAATCAGCGAATGTCAGGAGCTGAGGAACCCCTGGTCAGGCAACCAGCAAGAGCTGAGCGTTCCAGAGGAAGCACTGAAATACGCTGGTGAGTCAGATGAACTGTCACCGACGAAGAAAAAGGCTTCATCTAAAACAAGTTTCCCTGAACTCAGAGACATACCTGAGAAACCCATCTTCATGAGTATCATATTGACTAGTTCTTTCACATGTTGTTTATTATAGATATCAGGAATTAACAAGATACATCTGTAATACTAAAGAGAAGAACAAAGACAAAATGGTTACTACTGAGGTCCCGTCAAACCCAATCGCACTGCGCTTGGCTTTAGGGGCCTCTCACTGAAGGGTTGGCGGCTGTGCTAATGGCCCCGGAGAAAAGCCTCTATGCCTTCCTTTGGGTGTTCTGAAGAAAGAGAAAATGTTTTTCTCCTTGAAATCATTAAAAACTTATGAAATGAAAAAGAGGACAACTGATGCATCTGAGTAGGTCCAGAGAATAGGCATAAACATGACCAAGAAAGCAGCAGAGAGAGACAGCAAGAAACAGAGTAAGAGAAAGCACAAGGGAGGAACGAGGGGAAGAAACAATACATGCAACACCTTCAGACTGAGGATGTGGAGAAGCTCATTACACTACAAACAACTCCACAGTGCATTCTTTCACGAGAATGATTATTATTATTTTTGCCATAGGGTGTGTGCACCTCCTGGAGAGAAACAGTAACAGAGAGACGCAAAGTGAGGCATTACCCCTCAGGGTGGATGGCCATGGGGCAATCCCCTCTTCCATTCTCCTCCTGGGCCTTAGGCATGCATGCACATGGACCTAGTGTGAAATTCAACCCACTGGGTCTGGGACACAAACTGCGACTGATCACGTGGGAATCCAGCGCCTTAACCACTATGCCACCTGCTGGCCCTTGACTGAGAATCTTAAAGACGACCCAAGTGGTTGGGAACTTTCGCTCACCTTTAAGTCTTTCAGTGGGATTTCCAGGTACTTCTGTATTGCATGAGACCATATTACTTCAATATCTGCCAGAACAGCTGTAAGGGAGCCCCCTGGTCCTGGGTGAATATTTAACTGGCCTCTTCTGATAGGCCAGTGAATATTGTAACAATCCAATGGATTAACATACAAGGCCTAGAAGAGGAGCACAGGAAGAGAAGTGCATTGTTAAAACTGTTCTCTTGGGGTTTTCTGGACTTGCATCCAGAAATGGAAGGCCAGAAATTGTCGTTAACATCTGCCAAAGGCTCTGATGTTGACAGTGGGGTACAATCACTTCAAGTCAGTGTGAGTCCCTAGTCCTCAGAGCAGGATGACCACATGCTGGGAAGTGACTAGAAGTGGGTATGAAGAGAGCGCATTTTAGAAGGAGGATCAGGGTTTCTCTTCCACTGCACTGTGAAGAAATTTCCTACCTCTTCTCCTACCAAATACTCAGGGTGATGAGAGGTATTTGTCCACTTATTTCCAGAACAGTGATCCAAAACGGCAGGTCGCATCTGCTTGTTATAGGACCGTGCCTACGAAGAGAAAGCATCGCAAAGTTCATAGAGAGAAGAGCAGGGATACCACAGCACCCCCCCCCCACAGATGAGCTACATTGATGAATTATTATTATTTTTTTTAGGTTTTTGCCATAGGGCACATGCACTCATCAGAGACAGAGAGGGAAAGTGAGAAATCATCCCACAGGGAGGATGGCCATGCTGTAATCCCTTCTCCTCAATATCTTGGGATTTTCTGCACACAGCAGGGTTTTTTTTAGAGAGAGACTTTTGCTATAAGGCACATGCACTTGCCAGAGAATGCAGAGAGAGACAGTTAGAAAGCGAGAAAGCAACCCCCCAGGGAGGACGGCCACGATACAATCCCTTCTCTTCCATTCTCCTCTTGGGAGCCTGGGCACAGGAACATGTGCCCAGCATGAGTTTTAAGCCGCTGTGTCCGGGACTCAAACTGCGGTCAACTGTGAGAATCCAGTGACGTAACCATTACGCCATCTGCTGGTCCCTCTTTTTTTGAAAGGAAATCCTATCTTGTATTTGTATGAGAGAAAAACAAAATCTATAAATGGCACTACGATAGCACAGAAGTGAAAAGAATAAATCTGAAGAAAGAGTTGACTGACCTGTTCAGGGGATACAGGGATCCGTCTTGTACCATTTGACATCTTTTTGGACCATATTGCTTGATCCACCATTTTAAGGCCATTTTGTCTTTGTTCATTACTTTCTGGTTTCTGGAGAAGAGGGATGTGAAAGACAAACAAACAAAGGAGTTAGTAAAAGAGAAAGCAAGTTGGCAAAATACTAGTTTAATCCATTGTTAGGAAAGGCAATCTCATCAACACGTGGCATTTCCTTAATGTTTGTGACACATACTACCGTAATTCCAAGTAATCTTTTATTATAAACCGAAAAAGTTAAAAAAAAGGAACCTTAATCATAAACCATTTGTAAAAATCTATAATCTCAAGTGACTTTTGATTGATGTTTCACAGCACTAATCAAAGCAAACCTACTTTATACTTACAAAATATTTCCAACACTCTTCTATACATCCATCCAATTCTCCCGTGCACACAGTCACACTCCTTTGTATTTTAACTAATACTTATTTGAGTTATTGTGGTATTGTGATGGACACATTCATAAAAATCTTTGCAGAAATGTTGTGTTCTTGGGGCCAGCAGGCGGTCTGGCGAATAAAGGGCTAGATTCCCACATGGCCGATTGCAGCTCAAGTCTAGGACCTGTCGGCCTGAAAGTCACAACAAATCAACAGATATATAGGTAGATATTAAACGTTAAAAAATAAAAAAAGAAATTTTGTGTTCTTTTGATTTTTCTTGCTCCAATTTTTCTGTAAGGTAGAAATTATGAGATCCAAAAGAATTGTAGACTTTTTTTTTGAGAGGTTTTTGCTATAGGGCGTGTGCGCTTGCCAGAAAGACAGGGAGAGACAGAGACATAGAAAGCGAGAAATCAGCCCCCAGGGGAGGTGGCCACACCACAATCCCTTCTCCTTCATTTTCCTCTCAGGGTCTTAGGCATGCAGGCACATGTGCCTGGTGTGAATTTAAGCCACTGAGTCCAGGACTTGAACTGCAGTCAACTAATATATATATATGTATATATATATATATTTAAAATTTAACGTTTTGCCATAGGGCACATGTACTCACGAGAGAGAGAGAGAGAGAGAGAAAGTAAAAAATCACTCCCCAAGAGGAATATGGCCATGCCACAGTCCCTTCTCCATTCTTCCTTCAGGATTGTGGGCATACACATACACACGCCCAGCATGATTTTTAAGCCATGGGATTTGGGACTCGAACTGCAGTTTGCTGTACGGAAGTCCAGCACCTTATCCACCATGCCACCTGCCGGCCCCTGGACTAGTCTTTTAATTATGCTAAAATGGAGAACCCCACGACATGATTAGAATTATAAAAATTGCTTCTGAAACTGTCCCTGACGTAAAACTTCAAAGTTACTAGTGGAGTATGATGCAACAGACAGAGTAAACGCCTATCACAAAAAGTCTGCCTGGTAACCGCCTACAAAATAGGATAAAGTAAACGCTGAGCCCAAGGAAATGTGTGCTCTAAGATCATGTAAGTGCTTACTATAGCACTTCAGTTTGCTAATGGGATGAAAATATAAGTTCAATTTAAACTGTAGTTATATGGAAAATATGGCTGCAAAGAACCGGACATATCATTTTAAGTGACAATTCTATCTTCCACTGAAGATCACCTTCAACACCAAATTCATCCTAAAGTGAAAAAAAAAATGGATATACTTTTTTTATAATAAGTTCTTTAATTCTTTACAATCTAAAATTGCTTTCTCTGATGAAAAATGACACTTGTAGCCCTGAATGGTATTGTGATTTAACAGCAAAGCTCCGAAGACATTTATTTAAATGCCTGGGTACATGGAGTGTCTATGCCCTCCAGAAGTCGACCCTGGGCTCTCTCCAGCTCCTGTTTCTGACTTACGTTCAGACCCTCCCTTAGAAGCCAGCTGTCCTTGTATAGGGGCTGTCCTTGCTGTTTGTGCCTTCGTGCGATGACATGAGGAATGCTCGCCGGAAGTGTGTCTGTGGCTCGACCAATCCTTAGCGTTGTTGAACCAGGATGTATGACAACAATGAAGTTGCTCTGAATTTGCTGCAAATATAAAACATGGGCGTGTGACCTGAGTAAGTAACATGTAAGCCCCAAGTTAACGTACTGGTAACAAGTTCTGTTTTTGTTTTTTTTTTGAGAGATTTCTGCTGTAGGGTGCATACGCTCGCTGGAGAGACAGAGAGAGAAAAAGTAAGAAATCACTCCCTCCCCTGCTGGGAGGGAAGGCCATGCCACAATCCCTCCTCATTTATTCTCCTCCTAGGATCTTGGGCACACATGCACACACACACCTGAATTTCAAGCCTCCGGGTCCAGGACTCGAACCATGGTTGGCTATGCTGGAGTCCAGCATCATAACCACTACAACACCTGCTGGCCCTTGTACTGGTAAAAAGTTAAACTAAGAAATTCCCTATAATGACTATCAGACTGGAAGGTATCAAAATAATTCCATAGAGGGGGTTAAGAAGTAGCCAGTTACTGATCTCTACCAGAATGCAAACTCAACTGCATCTGTGTTCCCTTGTTCTGACTCAGGATATACAGTGCAACAAATATTTGCTTAAATGAGTGAAACCAAAATTATCCAAGGCCAACTAACATATTGTAATTTAGAATTTATATACCAGGCACTGTGGGCACAATGGGGACCAGGAACAAAGCCTCTACCACCAGAGAATGCTGTTTACCTTGGAAGACAATTAAAGAATAAATGCGTGTAGCGAATAATAAAATATGTTCTGAATTCTATAAATATAAATGTTTTAAAAGATGTTTGAAAAAAGAAAGATCCTAAGCCTCTACTACAAATTTTCCAAGTGAGAGTCTCCAAGAAGGGATCCCAGGAACCAGCAATTTTAAAAAGCTTCTAAGGTCACTACTATCACTTGAGTTTGATAACTACGGATCAAAGGAATGGGGGAAATTAACATAAGAATGCATGGTTGGGAACCAGCAGTTAGCGTAATGGCTATGTCGCTGGACTCCCACGTAGTCAACCACGGTTTGTGTCCCAGACCCGGTGGCTTAAAACTCATGCTGGGCTAGTGTGCGTGCGTGCCCAAGATCCCGAGAGGAGAATGGAGGAGAAGGGATTGCGGCGTGACCATCCCCCCTGGGGGGTGATTTCTCGCTTTCTGTCTCTATGTCTCTCTCTGTCTGTCTGGCGAGCGCACGCGCCCTACAGTGAAAATCTCTCCAAAAAAAAGAAAAAGAAAAAAGAAAAAAAAAAAAAAGAAAAAAAAAAGAATGCATGGTAATGTCCGAATCTGAGGCTTTCTGCATCAACTTTAAAATGTGTTTAAAAATATGCTGATTGTTGTTTTTAAAACTCTTTACCCTTCTTGTCCTGTGCTACTGACCTTATGTGGCAAGAGTTGGGTTAAAAGGCTGGATTTCACAGTTCTATCCTCAGGAGTCAGAAAACCTGGCTGCATCTCACAACCCATTCCTGGGACGTGGTGAGAGAAGATTGACAAAGCAGCACAAGTTCAGACAGTGGAGTGATGACTGTGGCAAGGGGCAAGTGTGTGTGTGTGTGTGTGTGTGTGTATGTGTGTGCCCCAAATCCCAGAATGGTGGAGAAAGGATTGCTGGGTGGTCACCCTCCTGGGGAGTGATTCTCAATTGCTTTCTGTCTGTCTCTCCAGAGAATGTATACAATCTATGGCGAAAAAACAAAACAGACAAAAAAGTTATTATGCAAATAGCAATATTGGTACCACAGAGGCCACGAGAAAATGAAATTCTACAGCTGGCTGAAGTTCTAGACTCATTGTAACGTTGAGGGCCCAGACTCTTAGATTCGTAGCTCTGCTTACAATTTCAGACTGCCATCTCCCAGCCCTGGATGGACTTCCTAGCTCACGCAGTTACTGTGAGGATTCAATGAGTTAGTCCTGTAGCTCAGAACCTGGCCACAGAAGCATTCACAAAATGCCTGCTCTTAATATGATAAAGTCTTCCAAAAGGTCACTCTCTGGCCTATATGACCCTCAGAACATGACCCCTGCTGAGATCTCCTTTTCTTCCTCCATTGCAGGCGTCCTGATCTAGCTTCCATCCGGTCTCCCTGAGATATGACACCCTCCTCCTGGCTAACCCTAATCATCTTCAGATCTTCATCCGGATGCCACCTCCTTTTAAAGAAACCATCCCTGACTGGCTGCAGAAGGTACCTGCTGTGTGCCCAACACCTCATACCCCTGCACTAGCCCATTCCACACCATGCTGATAATGTTAACCCCCCACCCCCACACACACAGTGGGAGAGCCCGAGAGGGGAGGACCTGGCCAGGCAGTTATGCAGTCTGTCCCTTCACTAGATGGGTAACTGGATGGGTGCAGTCACCAGGCCTGTGCAGCAGCAATGACCATGCTGAGACCCGACCGTGCCAGGCACAGTGTGTGCGCTACAGCTGCCCTCCCGGCAGGGGGCTGTCCTTAGCCCAGGAACAGTGAGAAAGCTGGCTCAGAGATGTTCAAGTGAAATTCTGAGCACTTAAACCTCCTTATTTCTTCTGTGAATTTACACTGCCTTTCTCTATTTTCCTACGGAGATGCTGTTATTTTCTTCACTGATAAAGCTGTGTGTGTGAGAGAAAATATAAATAACGGTCCCTTGGCTGCTGGGCTGCTGCATATATTTTTCTGGTTTGACTTAATCGTGTCCTGTTTTTGACACACAGGCCCGTAAGGTCTACACCAACGTCCGTTTCCTTTTCAGTATGAAATGACCTCTACTCGCAAACATTTCCTTCACAAAGGAAAAAAAGCTGATCTAGGTAACTAGACTTTTACTAGTGTCGCCGTCGCTGCTAGCTGAGAGCCAGCTCCATGCCAAACTTTGATACCACTGAAACCTCGCAGCAACTCGGGAGCAGGTGCAATCACTGCCATCGACCCGGGGCCACGAAGTGAAGTCAGGGGAAGGACCCAGAGTCGGTGCGCGCACCCCGAACCGCCCCGGCCGCGCCGTTCCCCGCGCCCTCGGCAGGACAACCTGGAAAGAAACCACCGCCCTCCTGCAACATCCACCAGGCGCTGGGGCCCGCTGGGGAGAGGCACCAGCTCTTCCTACAACCCACCCCGGGCCCGCTTTGGCCGAGGTGACCGAGATTGAAGCGCGGGGTTCTCGCCGATCGGTGCGCGCACCCCGAACCGCCCCGGCCGCGCCGTTCCCCGCGCCCTCGGCAGGACAACCTGGAAAGAAACCACCGCCCTCCTGCAACATCCACCAGGCGCTGGGGCCCGCTGGGGAGAGGCACCAGCTCTTCCTACAACCCACCCCGGGCCCGCTTTGGCCGAGGTGACCGAGATTGAAGCGCGGGGTTCTCGCCGAGACCCGCCCCCGGCGCCCCACCTCCTGCAGCGACTCTGGTACCAGCGCGGGCACGATGGGCCGCTTCACACCGCGTTGCTCCTTCTCCTTCTCCCCGCCCTTCTCCTTCCCGTTCTCCGCGTCCCCCTTCTCTGCCTGGGTCATCGTGGCTGCTATCGACCACCTGCCTCTGCACCCAGCGACCGCGCGGTGATCGCCAGGGCAGAAAGACAACGCGCAAGCTCGGGCGCAGGACTCCAGTAGCAGCAGGATCCCGGCGGCTGCCCACAGTGGAGATGGCCGCAGCGGGAGTCGCCCCAGAGGATTCCGGGAAGGCGCGTGGGCGGAGCTGTCCGAGGGCGGGGCTTGACGCGTGGATTTGGAAGATGTTGCTGTGATTGGTCCCCGCGGGCCTCTTAATACACCAGTTTTGGGCGCCGACATCAGGCAGTCTGATAACCAGCCACCACAGGCGTCCTGACTCCTGACTTCCTAGACATATTCATATTCTCATATTTCGCAGGTCATGCTTAGTCCAGCGTCTGATGTTGGGGCATGCACGCGATTTGAACAGAAGCTACTCTAGCGGCTCTTCTCTGCGTTATAGTAGTGCAGCTCAAGTGCAGAGTGGGACAACTAAATGCCAGATGCAGCTGGAACTGAGGTAAGCCTCCAGAAGTCTGCAGTAGTAATGCCAGGGTCCTCTCCTGGGTCATCTGCTCAGAGGTCACCCGCACTGGCTCTGACCTCACCTCGCAGCCACAGGACTACGGCAGTGATTTCACCTGCCTCCCAAGTTGCTGTGAGGTTTAAGCGGTCAGTAACCCTAAGCCACCACCTACTGAAACTGCTACGGTTCCCCAGTATTGCACTACGTCAGAGTTTAACAGAATGACTGCCATTCACTGCCCACATAATCTGGGAAGCTGCTAAACCTTACGGAACCCTTACATTTATCTACATGATGCAAGTATCTACCTACCTCACCTCATCAGAATTAAAAACGTGTTTTAAAAAAAAGACGTGGCACAGGCCCAGTCATGGTTGCCACTCCTCAAGGCTAGGGGCATGTAGACCTGGGCTTGGGTCTCGGACCAACCTAAGCTACCTGGGTGCAGTGGCACAAGCCCAAGTTTCCTAGCTAACTGGGAGGCTAGACAGGGACTGTAGCAAGGCGATGTCAAAAAAAAAATCTCCCTGGCCAGCTAGTGGCATGGTGGTTAAGGCAGCTGAATCTCACACGGCCGACTGCAGTTTGAATCCCAGATCTAGAGGCTTGAAAAAGCCATGCTTGGCCATGTGTGCATGGCTGCCCCCAAAACCCCAGGAGAAATGGACTGTGATGTGACCATCTTCCATGAGGGGTGCTTTCTCACTTTCTCTCTCCCCCAGCAAGTGTGTATCCCTACCATTACAAACAAAAAACTCCTTCGGGCCAGTTGGTAGTGTGGTGGTGAAGGCACCTGGCTGCCACATGGTCAGCTGTGCAATTCAAATCCCAGATCCAGAGGCCTGAAAAACATGCCTTGCTCATGTATGTCCATGCCCAGTATCTTCAAAAGGACAAATGGAGAGTGGACAGTGGTGTGACTGTACCCTGTGGGGGTTGCTTTCTTACTTACCCTCTCTCTGGTGAAAACACATGCTCTCTAGCAAAAACAAACCAAAAAAAAAAAAGTTGTCTTAAAAAAATAAGTCAGTGGTGGGAACCAGCAGTTAGCGTAATGGCTAGTCGACCATGGTTCACGTCCCGGACCCGGTGGCTTAAAACTCACGCCGGGCGCGTGTGCGTGCGTGCCCAAGATCCCAAGAGGAGAATGGAGGAGAAGGGATTGCGGTGTGACCATCCCCCCTGGGGGGTGATTTCTCGCTTTCTGTCTGTCTGTCTGTCTGTCTGGCGAGCGCACGCGCCCTATAGCGAAAACCTCTCCAAAAAATAAATAAGTCAGTGGTCAATGAACTGCTATCCTAAAATCTGTGTTATACTTGCTTCCTTATCTTTAACACCAGTCTTATGCCACTTACCCTCACTTCCTGACAAACAGGGATAACTACTGATAAATGGATATAAAAACTTTCATCTGAAGGGGGCTAAATGTTGGTGCAGCAGTAAAATGCATTAATCACTGTGGTGCTAGACCCTCATGGAAGGGTTCCAGGTTCAAGTCCACCGACCTCCCTGAGTGTGCCAGGCATACGCATGCCTGTGATCTGGAGCTAGCTGAGGTTAGATCGAGGCATCAAGACCCTGTTGGAGGGTCAGCCCCATAGTGTAGCAGTTAAACGCTGCATCCAGGGAACCAAGATCCCACATGGCGGACCACGGTCCAAATCTCAGCCCTTACAGCTTGAAGGACTTGCCAATCATATGTGTTCACAAGCCCAAAACCAGTGGGATGGAGATGTGGAGGAAAAAGGATTGTGGCATAATTATATCCTACTGAGAGAGCTTTCTCTCTTGATCTCTCTCTCTAGCGAGCACACATGTCCTCTAGTAATAAAAAAAAAAAAAAAGTAATTCATAAAGCTTTCACCTGAACACTTGGGGAGAAATCTGAACCTCTAGTGGAACCTATCAGTGTCCAGATGGTGTAAAGTCAGGAGACAGTATCTCCAGTACTACTGAATTCATATTTTTCAAGATTATGATGAAGTCCTGATCTCAAAAAAGCTTAGCAAATCATTTTATAGCTCAGTTTCATTGGCTATGGCTTTATAAATACCCTGATAATTACACCTGGTAGCAAATCAAACATGACATATTATTAAAGGGTCATGGGACAAATAAATGAATGATAAAAATTAACTCAAGAGCCCAGATACTATATGCACATTACTGAAATAGATATGATTTATTTACAAATGAAGACAAATGAACAATTTACTGTATCTCAAAGGTTGAAAAAAGCGACACAGTACTAAATACACAACGTTTGATTTTCTTCACATTCAGTGTTTATGGGGTTTTGTTGTTTTATCATTTTCCTATAGGGTGTGTGCACTTGCTGGAGAGACAGAGCAAGCACAGCGAGTGCACTCCCCAGGGGGAGGCCACAAGAC